TCGGCTCCCTGGCGTGAGGTCGCCGTCGTCGCCTTCCGTAGGGACGCACGGGGTCCCGGGAGTGCCACGCTGCCCGCGATCTGCGCTGCGTCGCGTCGCCGGAGGCCGCCGGGCGCGGCGGGGGCCTTGTTTAGCGCTCTGGCCGGCTGCCAGCGCGCGTGTGTGCGTGTGCGCGCGGTGAATGGGCGCGGGCGGACGGCGCCCGACCTGCCGCCGCCCCCGCTCCGTTGGCCGCCAGCGCGCCGCCGCCGCCGCCGCCGCCGCCGCCGGCGGCCGGGTGGCGTCACTGCTGTAGGTTGCGAGCTCTCGAGGCTGCGCTCCCGCTGGGTGCCGGCTGTAGGATGCGGATCTGGTCTGTTACCCGGCAGGTTGCGCTGCCACCTGGTGACCTCTCCCTGCCGGCGCGGTCCAGATGTGCTTGACCCGCCGGCGCGGTCCAGATGTGCCTGACCCGCCGGCGCTCCCGTGACCCGGCTTCCGACGTGGGCGGCGCTCCCGTGACCCGGCTTCCGACGTGGGCGTGCTGCCTCGCCGGTGTGGCTTCCGTTCTCCCAGCTGTTCCTCGTCGCGGCATGCGACCGGCGGCCGCTGCGGGCCGCGGTCGGACGCTATCCGTCACGTATCGTGTTGTGGTCGCTGTCGGCTCGGCGTGAGACCCTTGTCGCGCGCTGAGCCGCCGCCCCGCCGCCTCCAGCCCATTGTGAGGGCGTTATCTCAGCGGGCAGGTCGGCTGACTTGGCTCCGGCTGTCGCACACGCGGGCGGCAGCTGATCAAGAGCGACAGGGCTCAGGCATTGAGCGGGACGAGGTGTGGGACAAGGCCTGCTTTCGGCGGCTACTGGGTGGGCTTAGCTTCTGGCCCTGGTCAGCGAGCGTGAACATTGACACGTGATGAGGATATAGACTGGGACAGAAGCGGGGGCCGGCGCAACTCCTCGCAATGCGCTCTAAGCTCAGCCCTTCCGCGGATCACTGGGTGGCCGTTGCTGCGGCCTCCGGCGGAGGTAACAGATTTACCGCGCCAGCGAGCCGTGGTTACCGCGTTCACGTGAGCGTAGGTGACGCATTCACGTCTTGTTATTATCACTATTGACGCGTGCGCTACTGTGCTGGCTGGCGAGAAGCCAGCGATCGGCGAGCTGGGGTGCTGTTCAATCACGGGCCCGCTGCGCCACGGATGACAACATCGAAGATGTAAAACCTCGAGAGGAGAAAGTCGGTGGGAGGGTGCGGCGTCGTGGACGGGAAAGCGGACGGTCTTCCCCGGACGGGAGAGCGGGCAGCCTGTCGCCCGGGCAGCGGGCAGTCTGCCCCGGCGCCGGCAGCAGGCAGCCCGCCCGGGCGAGCCGTCGGCCGGGTGGCCCGCGCCCTTACCGAGCCCGGAACCCGCCGGGCCGCCGGGAGACGGATCGGCCGTCCGTTTGTGGGTCAAGGCGGCGGACGGACGTGCCAGGAGTGCCGAGCAGGCGACCGACCCACGGCAAACGCCGCCCCGGCCCGGCCTGGCCCGGCCCCGTATGCGTTGTTTGTCGAGAGCGGGGGTGCCGTGGCCTTACGGCTGTCGCCTCCGCCGCCCTGGGACTCCCGGAGTCGTGCTGCGCTCATCAGGGCTGGGCCGAGGCGCTCCGCCGCTCGTTTCTGAGTCCAACCAATGGGCAGTTTTTGCCTTGTTTTCGCTTTGTCGTCTTTTGTGTTCCATGCTAATCCATGCCGGCCCTCAACCCGAATCACTTTCCATCACAATCCGATCACTTGGCCATTTCCCCGCCTCTTTCATTACTCGCCCTTCTGAATATTCCTGCCTCGCTCTGCCCGTGTACTTTACGAGCGGCGGCTGGCTGCCTCCTCCGGGCTTCGGCACACAGCGTGCCGGCACAAAGTGGCCCTGTCCGGGGCGCGGGCGCGGTGCCTCCTTTTTGCGCCGCCGCATTGTGCCGGCCCGGCTGTTTTGCCGTCCGCGCCGCTCGGCTGGCCCGCCTGGTGGTATTGACACTGCCTCTCCGGCTGGAGGCCGGCACAAAGGCGGCGTGTGCGCCGACGCGCCGCGCGGCCGGGCCGGCGCCGGACGCCGCCGCACTCTGCTGACGGCTGTCGCCGCTGCCCGCTGGCGCCGCTGCCCGTTGGCGCCGCTGTCCGCGCGCGCGCCGATGCCCGTGCTCCGCGAGCTGCAACCCAGCAACGGCCCTTTGTGCGCCGCCCGTTATCCGTGCACCGCCCGTTATCCGTGCACCGCCGTCCGTTCTCCGCGGACCGTACCGCGCTGGTCATGCCCCGCTGCCAGCACCTTGTTCTACGCTATCCGTGCCGCGTCGTGAGCACCCTGTACTCCGCCATTCGTGCGCCATACTCCGCTGGCGGCGTCCCCCGTCCGGCTGCCGCCGGTGCCTGGTCAGGCGGTCGCCTCGGCGCCGCGTCGGGTACGGCCGGCCGCTGGTTTCGCCTCTCCTGCCGTGGGCCGGCCGGCCGACTGGCCAGCCGTGTGAACTTTCTCCCGGGCCGGGCGCGGTGAGCGGGCCGACCTCGACCCGCCGGCGGCCCGCTGACCCACCGGTGTCGCGGCGGCGGCTGCGGACGGGCGCCGTGTCACGCCGCGGCGCCCGGTCCGGCCGGACGGCGGGACGTCGCCCGGCCTCCGTCGGGCCCTGGCGCGCCGGTCGGGCTCCGTTGGCCCGATGACACCGCGCGTGGGAGGAGAGTCGGGGTGGCCTGTCGCGGCCTCTGCCAGGCCGGCACGGGTGCGGCGCCAGCGTCGCATCCAGCGCGCGGCTGGCGCCGCCGACCTTGCGCGCTGCCAAACAATGCCGACCTGTGCTCATTAGTCGCGATCGGGCGGCGGTGTTCGGCGACGATACAATCGGCTGGCCGTCGCCTGACCCGGCCTGACCCGGATCGACGCCGCGCCTCGGCGACTCGGGGCGGCGCCGGCGGCGCGCGCTGTCGTGTCGGCCGCCCATCGCGACCGGATTAATCAGATGACCGCATTAGCGGGACGGGTGGGCGGGTCCGCCCAGGCGGGCCGAGCCGAGCCGCGCCGGGCCCGCTCCTGCGCCAGAGACGCCGCCGGCCGGCCGCCGGCGCCGGGCGGTGCGCCGCTTTGGCCGCGCATGAGCGACGACGCGATCCTGGCGCGATGGTATCGCGCCTGGCGGCAGCCGGGCTCTGCCGCTCCGATGTTTTATCTCCGCCCCGCTCGGCGGCGCCGCCCCCGCCCCATCTCGCGGACCGCGGCGCCGAAGTAAGCAGCCAATCGCAGCTGCACCCGGGAGATGACGCCTCGTATCCGGAGATGCTAAGCGTGCCAGCATGCAGGAAACGCTCGCAGGTGCTCCCTACGCAAGGGAACTGCCCGGCGTGATAACTCTACTGACGACTCTATAAGGCTGTTAAAGCGTCTTTCGGCACATGTGCAGTTGGCGGCGACTCGAGCAGCTGCGTTGCGAAACTTCCCGCCGCTGGTCGTGATCGGCTTAGCGTAAAAGTTACGCAACGCCGCGGTACAAAAGGAGCTCGACCCGAAGACCGCTGCACCGTCAGTTGCACCATACCGCCGACGTCTTCCGGGGGGCGGTGGGAGAGGCTGTGGGAACGTGTCAGACGGCGGGCAGGACGCTACGGGCTGGTCTCGGAAGAACCGTTGGCGTACTGAAGGGGCAGGCACGTCATTGGTCATGTTCATGTGGGGAAGAAGTCCCAAATGTGGGCTGAACACGTTAATGGAACACTTTATAACTGCCTGCTGTTTCCGAGCCAACGGTATGGCGGCATTCGCTCATTCAAAATGGTTGTAAAATTTGCATCATTCGCTTAGTTCAAGTATCCAGGCGATGCGTGGACGCGACACCGGAGATCCAGCATTCCTCATGTGGAGGTCAGCTGCTAGCCGTCAGTATCGGCTTACGAAGCGCGGTTAGGGCCTGACCAGGTCAGCTCAGGCACGCATAGCACCCTCCGCAGATCAGGATCGAATGTCAGGTGTGATGAAGGCCAATGGGATTGCGCATCGAACGTTGCGTAATTTAAACGACCGAGCCCGCCGGAGTTGAGCTGAGCGACAAACATTCCACGCGTTCTCCTCGCTGCATGAGCCGACCGCCGTCCTGCAGCCGACGACGGCGCGGCGCCCGGCGTTGGCGCATCCACACGGCGCTGTAACGCCCTCATCACGTGCCGTGGCACGTCCCAGCGCCGCCGGCCGCGGCGCGACCGCCGCCGCCGACCACCGGCAGCCGCCGCTCCGCCCTCGGCAAACAACGTCAGGTCGCCGCCAGGCTGGAGCTAATTAGCGTCGGCGCGCGGCGGGCCGGGCGGCGCCGGCCGACGGCCAACCGCTCCGCCCTCGCACGCACGCGAGCGCGCGCCTCTGTCGGGTGCCGGCAGCGGGTCACGCCCACACGCCGCGTCGCCCGGCCCGGTGCGGAGACTGATCTCTGATGAGAGGCACGCGACGGCGGTGGCGGCGGTGGGGAGGCGTCGGGTGCTACTGGAGTATGTTCGGTTAAAGTTCGGTTCGGTTTGGTTCGATTAAGGTTTTGTTAGGTTTGTCTCGTGCTGTTCTGTCCGATCACGGCATATATACATGGCGTAACAATGCTTGTGAGTGCATGTGACCTTTTCCATTGTCATTGTTGTCCGCGCTGTTGTTTGATGATCTGGCTTTGGTATTCCAACCACGACGCTTGTAGCCATCCCCACCCTCATTGTCTGCCACAGCTTTGTCATCTGACCGCGGCCGCCCCGTCTCGTCTGCCCACCCACACCACAGCGTTCAACAGGACCCCTTCTGCCGCCCCCTTCTGCCCACCCGCACCACAGCTTTCAACAGGTCCCCTTCTGCCGCCCCCCTCTGCCCACCCGCACCTAAGCTTTCAACAGGTCTCCTTCTGCCACCCCCGCCTGCCCCATCCGCGCCACAGCGTTCAACAGGTCCCCTTCTGCCGCCCCCGTCTGCCCCACCCTACACCCCCAGCGTTATGACAGAGTCGCCTCTCTCGTTACCGCAGAGGGCCATGACTGGTCGGACCACGCGCTCTTTTGGCCGGAGCGCAACCAGTGGCTGCTGCGCACCAAGTCGACGCTGGACCAGTACAGCGTGGATGCCGAGGCGTGCTTGCTCTTCACGCCGATGCACAAGGTGCTGCGCGTCCAGCTGCCGGACCTGCGCCACCTCGACTGCCGCGTCGACTTCAGCGCCAAGTGCTTCAACGCCGTCATCGAGGTCTGCAAGGAGCTGGGTACGTACGCCGGGCGGCTGGCGCGCTCCGGTCGTCGGCGCCGGCGCCGGACGCTCCGGTCCAGCCGGACGGGCTTGGAGGAGGCTGGCGCCGGCGCCGGACGCTCCGGTCCAGCCGGACGGGCTTGGAGGGGGCTGGCGCCGGCGCCGGACGCTCCGGTCCAGCCGGACGGGCTAAGAGCTGGCGCCGGCGCCGGACGCTCCGGTCCAGCCGGACGGGCTTGGAGGGGGCTGGCGCCGGCGCCGGACGCTCCGGTCCAACCGGACGAGCTCGGAGGGGGCTGGCGCCGGCGCCGAACGGACGCGGGGCTGTCGTTGGTGCAGGTTATTGCTGAAGTCATCCTGGTCGTCCCGCCGTCCTGCTGTTGTCAGTGCAGCGCCGTTACGTCCTCGGTCAGTTACGCTCCGGGCGGACCAGCGCAGCGTCAGCCTGTGCCCGCGTCAGCCGTGCGAAGGCCGTGGAGTGACGGCTTGTGCAGCAGCCACGCCGCGGACAGAGATGTCCGCTTGGTGACGCAGGACTATTATGTCAAATGCCGCTATGGTGATGTTATGCTCACGCCGAGCGGATATTATTCATCGCGGAAAGCAAACCAGAAACTGATGCCACTAACCTGTCCGGATGGCTTATAAATCGCCTGTGGATCGGTTTATAAGTCGGGATAAATTAGCTGGTGTCAGGAGCAGGGGCTACGCTTCTGCTGGGAATCGTCGTAAATTACAGTTTATTCAAGCATTCAAAGCTCGTTTCGTAGGCTTATATTAACATTTATCTGGTATCGTATCGTACGTTGGCGAATTACAAGACCTTAGCCCTTGTAAGCTTGATGTATTATAGCGTTCAACGGTGAGAACCGTGGGCGCGTACATCCGGGCCTATTGAAACATTTTTCCGACGCATTGAGGAATGCTTTCTCTTATGCTGAATGACCCCTTACTCAGCGCATCCAAGGTGCACAACTTAATGTTGTCTCCCAGCTGGCTTGCTTCACCAGCAGAAATATGCCTGAAATATGGACTGTTTCTGTGTAAATATCAAGCGTTCATTCATCGGTTGATGAATGGTTGGATTTTCGATGAATGAACACGGTGATTCATTCGTTTATTCATGGAGCAGTTGAACATCATTTTACACATCAGTTGATTGACGGTTTGCCTTACTCAACACAAGATCAACAGTTGACGGGTGTCGTTATTGATTTTTGTACCGAAATAGTCCGGTATCCTTCGGAACTGCTCCGAACTCTCACTGCACTCCCCGTGGTGTACACCGCGGCACGTGACCCCTATAGCGGCGCTATGTAGTTGGACGCTCCCACACATCTTATCAGAGCACACAGTACTCGACGATCTCCCGCTATCATAGCCGGGACCGGCAATCAAAAACGAACCACGTTTGGCAGAGCTGGGACCAGCAGTAAAAAACGAGCCACGTTTGCTCAATGTATGCTTTACTCTACAGTTGTGCAGTTTTATCGTCACACGGACTGCCGTAGGATTTCTGCGTGATGGCGCTGATGCAATGGAGTTCGCGGGAGGGAGGGGCCGTACCGTTGGCCGGCTGGGCCATCGAATGGAGGTCCCCGGCGGCTTGAGGGGACTTCGCTCCCAAGATCAAACGTAGCCAAGAGGGCCTGGGCACAACCAACTTAAGATTGTTGCATTGTCCCAGGTATTAAGAACTAGAAACATTTTAAGTATATAGAACTACGACTGTACAGTTCATCCGGGTTTTTTTTTCTGCGACGTGCGTACGCGCCATTTTTCTTCAACTCGGTTACATGCTCATTCATTCCAGGTAATCAGTTGAGTGCGCATTGTCAGGGAAAAATGACATGCAATTAACGATAATTCAACTAACAGAACCTATTTTTGAGTTTCAAACATTGCGGGTGGTCGGCCAAGCTGTCATCTCGCTGCATCTTCTATTTGATCTTTGTGCGAGCTATGCCTTGCGACAAGGCAGTTTATCCATTGCTGTGGACTGTGACGTTAAGCCCCTCCTCTTGAGTACTTCCCCCTCGTGAACTGACAGTCGCTTGTCTTCATTGACAGCTTTAGCGGGTGTGAACGCTGCAGATAGCGGTCCGCGTGGGGCGTGCAGTGGTTTGAACGGACGCTCACGTGTCGATAGGCCGCAGCTGGATAATTCGACAAAGCGGCATGTGTTAGGTCATCGCGCTGCCCCGGTGCTCTTCCGTTCGGATTTACGACCTGTTTGGCAGTGGGTGTCACCTTGAAGCGTGGACTGTTCACTTGTGGACATTCCACATTAAGATGACATTATGCGCCCCAAGGATGGCTCGTTTATCCTGGTGGTGATATCATTGGGAAGTCATGCATGCCGTTGGATCCCTCAATGCACGTCTCTGCTGGAGCACTCACGAACGTCCGGGGCATTATGCACTGGCGATTGTACCGTTGTAGTGCATACTTCGCGGACATAAGCTTGGGAAATCCTGTCTGCACTTCCGCGCCCTAGCTGCTCACTGTGCCGTGTTGGTCGCCGCTGTGCTGTACGCAGAAATGTTCACCAATCAGTGGCTCAGGAGACTGGCCGTACACGCGAGAGCGAGGGTGGCTGGCGGCGGGCAGCTGGACCGTAACACGTGCCGCGGCCGGCAGGTATCCGCCACCCGGAGGAGCTGTCGTTCGCCAAGCCGCTGGAGTCGCAGCACCTCAAGTACAACTACCAGTCGCACGCGGCCGGCAAGGCGCGCTCCGTGGACGGGCTGCCGGCCGACACCAACACGTTCATCTCCAAGAACGGCTCGGCGCATAGCAGCAACAACAGCCTGGACGGCCCGACTACGCCCAGCCGCCGCCTGCACACGTCCGGCTCACACTTGAACACGGTCAGTGACGGCGCGAGGCTGCGCTCCGCGCTCCGGCGCCTTCCGCGGCCGACGGGACGGGCCCGATCTTCGCTGGCGTTCGCTCGCTGCGCCCGCTGATGGATCGGACAGCGGCCGCTGCTGATCAGTGTCGTCGTCTGGGATCAGTGCCGCCGCCGCGGAGGCGTGTGGTCTGGTCGGGCGGCTGCGGCGGCGGCTCGCCGGCGTCCACCTGCAGGCCGGGCGAGGTCCTAGTCGGTGTGCGTGCGGTTGGCTGATAACTCGCTACTGACGCCCGCCCGCGGCAGGGCCTCAGCATCCAAGTATCGGACTGTATATTTGTCTTCGCGCCGGCGGCCCCCCGACGCCCGTCACCAGACCGTGCTCTCCGCGTGGCGGCGGCGCGGCGCTGCCTGCGGCCGTTGCGGCGGACGCGGGCAGGCTGCTATCGGCGCCGGCGTCAATACAGGCCATCTGGCGCCGGCCAGGGCGCCACGCCCGCTGGGGGCCTCAGATAACCGGGCTATCGGCGGCGTCGGGGCTGTTTACGCTGCGGCATCTGGCGCCGGGCCGGCCGCTGCGTAAGCTCGCGCGTGAGCCCACGTGGCGGAAGCCGCCGCCCGGAGGGCTGGCGCGCGGCGGCGCTGCTGGGGTGGCCGCCGGCTCGAGCAGGGCTCGGCGGGCCGACTCGAGCGGGGATCGGCAACGGTGGTTGGCCGTGGTGCGGCGGGTCTCACGGGCGGCGGGCGGGTTGGACCGACGCCGCGCTGTCTGACCCCGCAATGCACGCGCCGGCGGTGGCGTCGGCCGGGATCAGTCCCGTCTCGCTGTCGTCAGCCAGTGTTGGCAGCCGACGCCGGCCGGTCCTCCCTCCCACGGCGACAGCTCGGGCGCACAGGCGTCCTCAGGTCGCCGCCAGGCCCGCCACCTGGCGGACCTGAGAGGCCGACTCCATGCCGATACCGGCGACGCCTCCCTCGGCAGCGGCGCGGACGGCGTCCCCTGACGCCGCCGGGCCGTCAGCCGGGCGTGACCTGCGCCGCAGCTCCCTGACAGACGCGCGACAGCCGGCGCTCGACCGACGCGCGACAGGTCGGCCGGGACCGTCAGCGGCGGCGAACAATGGCCGGCTGGGCTGGCCGGGACGCCAGCAGGTTTGGTCCGGCCGCTGCGCACCGCCGGTTACAGTCGGCTCGGGATTCCCACCTGTGATACTTCCCAGCCCCCCCCCCCCCTCTCTCGAATCTCTCTCCTCGGCGAAACTGACCCTTGTGACTCGATCCCCTACGTTCCTCGAGCCCCGCTCGGCCCGTGCAAGGTGGTTTTCTGTGAGATGAGGCTACCGCCACCCCGGCCCAACGCGAGACCCACTGTGCCTGCGCAGTACAGCTGCAGCTAACTCAACCCCTGTGACAAAGCTCGCGAGCGGCCGCCGACTCTGTCACCTCGCGTGCGCTGCCCCTCCCCCGGTCCGGCTGTGGCGCAGTTAATGCCGCGGCGGCGCCTCCGGTTGCACGAGACCCGCCGCCGTCACATATCGCTGACAGAGGCGGACGCGGCGCGAAGCACGCCCGGCATGTGGTCACCGCGCGGCGAGCCGCGCCGCCGGCCCGGTCCCGCCCCCCTTCGGAGGGCCAGCGGCCGCGCGCCGGGGCGCCCCCGGTCTCTCCACTGACCCGCGGCGCAGCGCAGGGCTTGGGCGGGCTGCCCGGCGCCTGTGTCGTGGCCGGAAGGCACCGCTGCGTTTGGCCGGCGTCGGTAGCCTCGCCGCGGGTGTTGGAACACGATTGCAGGCCGTTTAGCGTGCGAGAGGCTGCTCAGGCCCGCACCGCCGCTCCCAGTGGCTTTACGAGGCCGCCCGTTCGGGGAAGGGCCCGTGATCTCATGGCAGGACCGGTTCCGCGCGGCCGGCCAGCCGGCCGGCGGCCGCCGCCTGCGACGGCAGCCCCTGTTTGCAGCCGTCGCCGGGCGGCCTGCACGGCCGGGCGTCGCCGCCGGCCGGCCCCGGCAGGGTCACTCTGACGTCACCCGGTAAACAGGCGCGGCCTTGGACGCCGCGACACGGCCGCAGCCGGGGCGGGTGGTCATGGTGAAGCTGGCCACCGCTCCGGCTGAGGAGGGTCGCCGGGGCCAGGCAGCGCCGGCCGGCCTGCAAATGAGAGGTGCCTGGGCTCGGTGCCAGCCAGTGCTGCCACCTTCACCGGTGGCGGCGAGTCCGCGGTGATTTGTAACGTCGTACCCGGGGCGCGTGGATGGATGTTGTTTGACTTAGCGCATGCGAAGCTTCAAAACGTCTCTGGGCCGTGGGGCGCGGCCTGAAGGACACTGACCGGGTTGCCGGTGAATGTTGACATCTAACTCTTCACTCCCTCAGCAGGTGCTGCCTTGACGTGGGGCTGGCTGGTGTCCATCACGGGAAGAGTGCATGTCCTCCCGCTCACCGAACCCAAGACCACGCCCGTCAGGGACGCTCCTCGTACCCGTAGGGTGCATGCCGCCGTGTTGTCCATGCGGCGTCCTATCACCTGCGACGCCCTATCGCCGTCCCCTGGCTGTGGTGCGTTACCCCGGTGTTGCCGTCTCCGCAGAGCCCCTGCCGACGAGGCCGCGTGCGTAACGGTGCCCCCTGTGATCTCCGCAGCGGCCGCTGCCGTCGCCGCCGGCGGACGCGGACCGCGCCGCCTACCTACCGTACCCGCCGTCGCCGCTGGTCCAGACGCCGCCCTGGGCGCAGGCCGGCCCGCAGCGCTCCAGTCCGGGGCCGCCGCCCACGCCGCGTACGCCTGGCGTAGGTAGCCGGTCCGGCTCGGTCCGGCCAGGCGCTAACGGCGGGAGCCGCGGGGTGCTTGCTTCGGCGCCGGCGCCGACCGCGGCTCGGTGGCGTCCGCCGGGCGGGGCGCATCGCCATCGCCGCCGACCGGGAGGACTTCTCCTCGTGTCGCCGGTGCCATGTGCCGCTTCGTGTGGTCCTGCGAGGGTTGGTGCGGCGTCTGGTGGTCCGGTCGCTGGTCGCTGGTCTTTGTTCCTGACGCCGTCTCCGGGTGGTGCTCCTCGTGGTCCTCTGTTGTTGGTCCGTGTTCCTCATGTTTCGGTAGCTGGTCGATGTTCCTCCGCGTGGTCCTGTCAGGCTTGTTGTTTTAGCGAGGCTCCTGGACGTTGAGCAATGCGTTGCGTGAGCCACCGGACGTGGGTCGCGCACGAAGAGCCCCCCCCCCCCCCCCCCCCCCCGCCGCCGCCGCCGCCGCCGTCGCCGCCGCCGTCGTCGTCGTCGTGTCTGCGGTTTGTCCGCGCTTGTTTGACCCTGCTGCGGTTGTTTTAACCCTCGCCGGATACAGATCGGTCTGATGCCTCCCACCCGACCGCCAACTCCGCCCCCCCCCCCGCCCCCCGCCCTCGAACTCAGCTTCCTGACGTCACAGATCGCGCTGCGCTCGGGCGCTCGTCTCTTGCCCCGGCAGCGGCGGTGCCATGGCCGCCTGCAGCGGCGCCAACAGCTGCCGTGTGTGGTCCACTGGCTGGTCCGGCGTTTGTTGACGTTGGTCGGCGGCCGGTGTGGCGCCGTAGGGGTCCTCGCGCGCGGTGACGTACGCCGCGGCTGCTGGGCCGGCTACCGACCGCGCTGCCGGCAGCCGCCGCCGCGACCCACGGCGTTCCGTCGCGCCCGCGGAGTGTTGACGTGATGAAGGATCTCCGGGATGGAGATGCCCCCACGAGGATGGCACGTGGACTTGGCTGTTTTAAGTTTGTCCCCGGAGAGTTGCAGCGGGTCGCCAGGTTCGAGGCTCTGGGAAATGTCAACAAAGAGGTTACGCCCTCTTTACGTGGCGCGGACCTCCATTAAACCGCAGGCTGGAAGTCGGGTAGTCCTGCTTTCCCTCGAAATCTGATTCACCCCTGTGTAAATACGTCAGGATTCCCTACAGGCCCAGATTTCGCCGCTGGTGCTATCCTGGCGCGTGGCCCAGGCAGCCCAGTAACGTACCAGCGTGGGGTCTGCCAGTCCGCCTCTGACCCCGCGGTCGGGTCAACGTGACCGCCGCCACCCCTCCGGATCGCTGACAGCCTCCCGACACGGGCACAGTGGCGACGGCGAGGGCGCCGCGCCGCGTTTGTTTTTCCTGCTCCAGATCTGTCGGGGCGCTGGCCGAGCTGCCCATTGATCGGCTAAAAATACGGCGCTGACCGTCTGAGCGGCGGCCGGCCGGCCCAGCAGTGATGGATGGACGGACGGACGGACGGCCGGTTTGTTTGGGTGATTTTACGACGGATGTAACGGCTTTGGTCTGCCGTGTCGCAATCTTCGGCGCCACTCTCCTGAAGCGGGGGACCGAGACACAAGCACGGACAGGCAGTTCCGGTGGACGCGGGACAGCTTGTAAGGACAGACGACACGATCAGACGGGCTGCCGAGACGGAAAGCCGCGCGCCCAGCTGGCGGCGATACCCACCCCGTGGTGCGGGGTTTCCCCCGCGCCGTCAGGCGTTAGGAGCGGGCTGCTGGCGGCGCTGCTTGGTGTCGTGGTTTAGCCGGGGAGGGGGATGCCGCGCTAATCACGTGCCCCGGTGCTAACGACGCATGTGTCGGGCCTCGCGTCTGATCCATTAGCGACGGCGGCCGGCGGCGGCGGCGGCCGTCTGGGAACGACGGCACGCTGCCAGCTCGTGCGAGCGCGTGCCCGCTGGCGCACATCCTGTCTCGCCGCGCGCCGCGACGGTCCGTTTGTCATGCCACGCCCCGCCGCCGCCCTGCGCGCAAACACCCCCCGCTGCGGAGAAGGGGGTAAAGTCTGCCGGCGGCGCGGCGTGACGCGAACCCGGTGCCCCCCGGGCGCCCCCCGGCCTGACCCTGCCCCGATCCTGCCCTGACCCGTGGCGGGGCTGCCTCTCCACGGCTGACGGCGCCGGCCGCCGCCAGCTCGCGCCGCCGGCCGGTGCTGCGTGACGCGACCCGGCGCCCCCGGCCTGACCCTGCCCCGACCCTGCCCTGACCCGCGGCGGGGGTGCCTCTCCGCGGCTGACGACGCCGGGCGCCGCCAGCTCGCGCCGCCGGCTGGTGCGGCGTGACGCGACCCGGTGCCCCCGGCCTGACCCTGCCCTGACCCGTGGCGGGGCTGCGTCTCCGCAGCTGACGGCGCCGGCCGCCGCCAGCTCGCGCCGCCGGCTGGTGCGGCGTCGGGTGGCGCCGCGTCACGCTTGCCGCATGCCTGGACGAGCGGCAGCCGACCCGGGACGTGCCGCGCCGGCCCGGCCCGGTTTCGCCCCCGCTCCGGTCGCGCAGGAGCGGAGGGGGGGGGAGGGAGGATCCCCGCTCGGTGGGGCGGAGTCGGAGTACGTCGGCTGGGCTGGAACTCGGTCGTGCGGCGTGTGGTGGCGCGAGGTATGTGGCGCCTGGAGCGCTTTTTTCCGGCGGGATCCTTCGCAGGGTTTGCGATCGCGCCGCTCTGTCCGTCCATTATTGTGCGCAAAAAACACTGAAACGCCAGTACCCCTTTTGTCTTCAGATCCGATGGAAGTGATGTGTTTTAAGCCTGTGTTGATGCCGATTGTTCTTTGCTAATATATCGTGGTGATAACCATCAACAAACGGTCGTCCATCACGTAAGAATGTTTGCCGGCCCTGTAGATAATGCACGAATCAATCACGGGGAATGCAGCGCGGCGTCAGCACGTGGCTTTTTGTCTGTCAAGCCAAAGCAATTCTGGCTGATGGTCTTTACCGCCTCGTAGGTTGGGGCAACCAGCTGGGCACTATGCTGCGCAGCGCGGGTCGTCCTTGGCTGGGACTTAACGCTGTCTTTAGGGGCCTGACCTCTGCGTGACCTTGATTGTCATCCTGCTGACGTCATTCTGAGCCCCGCTCTGTTCTGCCCTCGCTGTGTTGGCGGCCAGTCGTCCCGCTCGACTGAAGCCCATGGTGTCACTTCTGGCGTAACGTGATTGGAGGGTTGGTTGACACTGACTACGCTGTTAGCTGACTGTGTGATTTCTAGCCTGTTATGTCTGTGTCATGTGGCGTGAGCCCACCGTGACCAATGCGTCACCTCTGATTTCTCCTGCTTCTCGTCTCAGTTGACGGCCTGAACTGCCCTGACCTGATCGCTCATGGTGTTACCTGTTAGTCGTTCTGCTCTTAAGACAGAGCGAGATGGGCTCAGAGTGCACCGTGTCACGGCCTGACCCCTTGTGTCACCGCTGGCCTGTCCTGACTCCGTGTCGTCTGCCAGCCCGTCCTGACACCCCTCCTCCTGTGTCACCCCCGCCCCGCCCCGCCCCGCCTCGTCCCGCGCCGTCCGCCAGTCTGACCTCCGGCGCCTCCCGTCCGCAGAGCGGCACGTGGCGCTCGAACGCCTCGCACTCGCCGTACAACACGATGAACAGCTCGCTGGGCGGGCCGGGCTCTCCGGCGCACAACATGACCATGAGCAGCCTGGACAGCCTGGACTCGGGCCTGACCCACAGTCCGATCGTGCCGGCCGCGCAGGCGCGCCGCGTCATGGTGCACCCGCACACGCTGCTCGAGCGCGCCCGCATGAACGTGGCGTGAGTACGGGGGCGGCGCCCGGGCCGGCGCGCCGACGCGCCGACCGTGTTTTGGCGCGGGATGCGGCGGCGACACTGCGCTGTGCGTGCCGGGCCGTTCCGTGCCGCGCAGACCTGACGGAGGGAGCTGTGTGGGCGCTCTGTAGCAATGCAGTGGGGCGGACGTGAGGCGCGTGTTATTACCGTGGCTTGATGCGGTGTTGTGGGTGCCGCGAGGCCGCGTCCGCAGCAGAGCTTCTGTGACGTTATAATTTCACCACTGTGCTGTCTCGTTCCGACTGCGGTCCCGTGCGCTACTGTCGCATTCCCGCTGCAGCGGACTGTTGTAATCCTCTCGCGGGCACGCCACAAGATGGCACGACACACTCTCTCTCTCTGTCCTCTGGCCGTCCGTGGCCTCTGAACGCGCTGTCTGGCTCTCCAGCTCCCCGTCAGACGGCCACGTGCCTCACCGCGTGCGCTGCGCCGCGCCCCGACCAACACCGGAGGGCGCTGTCTGATCGTGTCATCTGAGCGTCTCTAGCCCCAGTCGCCGCCACGCGCTGCTGACGCCGGGGCGGTGACCCTCGCCTGCCGCAGCTGGCTGGACTCGTCGCTCTCCATCATGGAGCAGGGCATCCGCGAGTACGGCACCCTCCTGCTGCGCTTCAAGTTCTACAGCTTCTACGACCTGGACCCCAAGTACGACGCGGTGCGCATCAACATGTTGTACGAGCAGGCCAAGTGGCAGATCCTGAACGAGGAGATCGACTGCACCGAGGAGGAGATGCTGTTGTTCGCCGGCCTGCAGGTGAGTGTTATCGCGGGTGGGGGCGGGTGGCTGTCGGCGGCGCTCCAGCGAGGCGCCCTGACGCGGTGGGGGTCGGCACCGGGCGGATAGTGAGGCTCAGAGACGATCCCAGACGTAAGGGTGGTGAGTCGGCGACCTTCCGCGCAGGGAGTGCAGTGGTACAAGGTCTTGCCGCGCAAGGTGGTTGGTTCCGCCACTATGTCGTCGCGGTGGTGGACAGCGCAGGGTCGCTGGCGTAGGTTCGGTTGAGAGAGGCACTGGGAACGTCCGCGGAGAGACCTGCCAGCGGACAGGAGATCTTCAGCTGGCTCGTATGGCAGTGACCTGGCCAGCGCCCGTGCCGGCTGTGGTGTGATTATCTGCGGAGCGCTCGTCGGCAAGAGACGGTGCGGGCCGGTTTGTCCCCCGCGTGGCCGAGCCGTCGTGTGGTGATCACTCTCGCTGCTTGGGTGTGTGTGTGCGTGCGGCGCGCCTGACTGGGATCTGGTTGTTACGGTGACCTGTGTTCGATGCGGCTGGTCCGAGTCCTCGATGCAATGGACACGGTTTCCGTCGTTCCACGGTCACCCTGGCTGTCATGCGATCATCGCTCCTCTCTGCTGTCAGCCTTGCTGTGGGTGGCCCAGTGTTGACGGCGTTTGTACGCGTCCCACACGGCTCTCGTCCTCCGTTTCGCTCGCTTCCGCCCGGGCCTGGTGTGCCGCCATGCTGACCGGCGTATCCCGTCGGCCCGCAGCTGCAGGTGAACATGCAGAGCAGTCAGCCGCAGCCGGAGCTGAACGACTCGAGCATGGGTGCCGACGACATCGACTCGGCGCTCAACGACCTGCAGGTCAAGCTGGAAGGCTCACACGTCAACGGCAACGGCGACATCACGCAAATCCCCGAGCTCTCGGACTACCTGCGCTTCTTTAGGTAGCGCTGGCGGCGGCGACGCCGGCTGGCTGGGCAGCGGGCGGCAGGGCGGGGCTCGTGTGGGCGTCGGGAACGCGCCGCGGCTGCGAGCGGGGTGTTGGCGCCCGCCGCCGTGCGTGCCGCGGGCCCGTGCCGCTTCTTGTCCGGCTTCAGGTTTGAAAGAAGTG